GCAACAATGAATGAATGAGAACCCAAAATCTCTGTAAATGTTCATTAAAACTAATAAAATTTAATAATAATTAAAAAAGATTAGTCTTAAGGTGGTAATCTTTAGATCATGTTAATTTTCTTAAAAGATAATATATTAAAAAAAGCATAGTGTTTCCATTTGTAAAATGACTTCCTACAAATAAAACTCCAATTCAGGAACAGGACTGAAAATATCACAACCCACAGCATTCATTGCATGTCAATAATTATTACCATTATTTCTGAGTCACTGTTGGCGCCCAGATCACTCTGAGAAAAGCCTTGAAAGTCTTCGGTCTCTGAGTCAGTGTCCTCTACAAAAATTCTTCTCAGCTCTTCCGTGAAGTACTTGGAATGGAAGCGCACGTCCTGCTGAATTAAAAACACACAGGCACAATGTTTTCTAAAGTTTACAGAAACCGAGGCCGTCTGAGGGCACCAGAATGGCTGTGGCTCAGTCACGTCTTCAGTGATGGGGAGCTGATGACAAACACAGTGTCTCTTGGCACAGCTGCTGGAATCACAAAGAAAGAGGAGCCAGGGAAACGCCGGTTCCTGGAGCAGCCCACCCCAGCCTGTTCACAGGGGCGAGCACTGCCCCCCTACCTCCTCCAGGCACGGCAACTCCAACAACTATCTCCCCAAGAGAGAAGGCTGGGGCTTCTTACAACCCTCACAACCCACTGTGGACAGGACTGGTGTTGCACAAGTAGAGTACAGGGGCTGTGTGGCAGGTTCGAATCCTGCCAGACCCCATGAGTTGCACTTCTGCAGAAGTTGAGAAGCAACACGGGAGCCTCGATGGAAGCTACAAGCAAGTGAGCAGAAGGAAAGCTTTCACATGACTAACTTGACAGAAGCATTTTCCAATAACAATATCCCCCTCCCTTTTCTGAAAGATTTCACAATTACTGTGTAGTCAATTCTGACTCACGGTGACCCCAGAGTACCAGTGTTACTGCAGTAACCCAGAGTGCAGTGTCCCTGCACTCCACTGTTTGCAAGGCTGTGTTCTTTCAGAAGGGGCTTGCCAGACCTTTCCTCTGAGTTGCCTCCGGGTTAGTCTAACCCTCCAACCTTCTGGTTTAACTACCTGGTGTTAAAACTCTGAAGGATCAAATGAAAGCAAGCAGGCTCTTCTTCTCGGCTCTCTTTCTAGCATGCTAAGATCAGCAGAGAAGCCCCACAATCCTGCCTCCTTCAAGCATGCATCTCTTCCCGAGGGCTCACGTCTACATCCCATTTCAGTCCTCCCATGCCAGATATAGCAATGACCCCTCGTGGCAACACATTCGGTTGAGAATTTTTATCTTTCCCCTGCATCTCCCTGACTTTAATTACATACTTCCTCAAGTGCAGATAATCTCTGGAGAAAAATAGATATAATAGAGGAGTGGGGGAAATTTACAAGGGGATAGAGAAATGCCTACATGCAGCATCATTTTTTTTTAAACTTAAAAATGTCTCCTATGAATTATTATGGGTAATTGGGGTAAGTTTGCGGGGAGCTAAATTACTTTGTTTCTTTGTTGATTGCTGTGGTGCAGCTGCTTGGAAAGGAAGAGGGGGGGAACACCCAACAATAAAAACCAAGACAAAATATACACTCACAAAAGAGAAAGTAAGTTTCTTTAAAGAGAAACTTGGCCTGTGTTTACAGGAGACTAGACTAGGGTGGGGGATTCAGTGTGTGGACACAGTGGGGAAGCCACGGGCAGGGGTGGTTATGGCAGAAGCCGGACACCACCGACTCTTGAGAACCACCAACCACAGGCCTCACAGGCAGGAAACATCTGCTGACAAAGCCCCACCAAGCCTGCAGGCTCTCAAGGGGGACGGTATGAATCCTATTAGCGTAGAAGCCCCTGCCTGAAGTGTTAAAGCCAACAGGCCCAGCTCTAAGCAGAACATTCCAACCTCCTAGTCCTTCCAACCTCCTACCCCATCTGTGCTTTGGTCAGCCCTCTACATTGGCCACATAGGCCAGTTTGCATTTATTCACTCCTGTCAAGTCAGAACCGACTAAGAGCTGACCTTCCAGTGGATTTCAGAAGCTGTAAATCACACAAGAGGAAAGTTCACCTCTCTTTCATGGAACAACTCCCTACAAACTCTCACCAGAGCTCCCTCCTTCCACAGGCCAGTTAGTCAGGAAGCAATTGCTATCTCTGGTGGCCACTTGTCATGGAGAAAAATAATGCAGCCACAGCTCTGACATTAGGCCTGCAGAATAGCACAGCTACCGTGCTAACATGAGGCTGGTCTTCAATCTCTTTTGCTTATTCTAAAATTGGGAAAAATTCCACATGGAAACCTGCAGAAAGCAAATCTATACATGCCTGGTTCCACCTTCTTGCACAGCTCTCTGTTCATGTGACCACCTCATCAGCCTTCAAAATCAATGCCATGGGCCCTCCCTGGGTGGTCTGGGCTCAGCTGGCAAGCAAAGCTGGTGGTTCAAACTTGCCCAGAGGCTCTGAGAAGCAGCACACCTCTTGACCTGCCGACAAAGACTACAGCCTACAAACTCCATGGAACAATCCGACTCAGTAGCAGGAGGAGAGAGGACTTGTTACAAATCAACAAGATGACTGTTAGGCAATATAGTGAGTGCCTCAGGCATCTCCAAATAACTGTGATTAAGACTGCAAACAAACAATCAGAAGAGGAGTTAAGGGAAGAGGTGACATTCTTATGTCAAAGCTAGCCTGACATGAAGAGGAGTTAAGGGAAGAGGTGTCATTCTTATGTCAAAGCTAGCCTGACATGAATTAACAAAGTGGACAGCAATGTCTGCTAAACCAGAAAGTCACACCAACACCTATTTCACTTCCACTCAGCAGGAGTCACTGGTGCTCATTCTATACATAGCCAGGGGCTTAAAACATGCAGAAAAGGACAACATACAGGACTGAAAGTCAGCCAGAGAAGGTAGGAACCACCTTTCAGTATGAAGTCCCTTCCTCTGGGATTTTATAACCAAGCAGGATAGCCTTATAAATCCATAAATTACCACAATGATGGTAGCAGTTATAAGGGAGGGACAGCACGGCTGCAGAAAAGAAAAATCCAATAAAACTTCACAGGTGTCTCTGAACTCAGTCAACATCACTGAGTCAGAGCTGACCCTCCTTTGGGTTTCCAAGGAGTTGAAAGGCCTCAGAGAGGGGACTGCCCATCTTTCTCCTGAGGAGCTGCTAGCAAACCCAAACAGAGAAGGGCCGTCTTTAGGTTAGCAGGCAAACACCATGGACTATGCCACCAAACTCCCTGTATATGAACCAAGCTCACATGGACTATGCCACCGAGCTCCCCGTCTCTGAACCAAGCTCACCATGGACTATGCCACCGAGCTCCCTGTATATGAACCAAGCTCACCATGGACTGTGCCACCGAGCTCCCTGTATCTGAACCAGGCCTGGGTTAGGAAGTTAAGAGGGCATGCAGGCGGAATGAGCTGCATAAACCAACACCCAGAAAGAGCCGAATCGCAAACAGTGAGAGTAAGAGACACCCAAAAGTTCCAGGTCTGCTGCAAACGGGCAGGAAGCAGCCAGGGGAGGTCAGGAGGCGAGAAAACCAGCCGTCACAGAGTGAACGCTGACTCGGGATGAGCCCATGCCTGTCGGGACAGAACTGTACACCCCAGGGACCCCAGTGGCTGGTTTTGCAGAAGCAGCTCACCAGGTCTTCTGCAGTGCCTCTGGTGGACTTGAACCTCCAACTTTTCAGTCAGTAGCAAGTATGCAAATGTTCAGGGGCTCTAGAGTGTGAAAGGTGGAAGATAAACACACCGCTGGATTTGGAACAGCTCAGCTCAGCTGATTCACAGGTATAAGGTTGGGGGCAAGGCATTCACCTCCCTGAGTGTCCGTTTCACCCCACAGACAATAGGGATAATAATAACCCCACCTGCACCTTCCCCGAGAGGCATGGGATGAAGCACAATGAGTACGAAAAGCTCCTGGCACGCTGTCCTGGTGACGTAAAGTAGGCTGTGGTCAGACAGGGATCCAGAGAGGACAGTGTGGCTCACTGTCACTGTTTAGAAGCGAGGACTGGGCGACCATGGGGAGAGGCGGCCATCACAGAGTGAGCAGCTTCTTTATTTTTTACTGGCTTCCTCATGCCACCATGCCAGCCTCTGTGCAGTCACACCTTCACACCCACCCTACGCGGCTCAGAAAGCCCCTTACTGTGGGCCTGGGTCTCCATCCTCCCTGACGACATCTGGTCACGCTGAAAAGAGACTGACAAACTGTAAACAAGGGAGAATAGCAACAAGAACTATATTCTACAGATTATACAGACATATACAGATCCCAGGAGGAAGGAGCGAGCGGCCACGGGAACAGGAGACCCAGAACACAGACGCGCAGTCAACTCCTGGATAGGGGACCCGGAGACAAGAGAGGAGGAAGAACAGAGGGGAAGATATGAAGAGGAGGCAGGGCCAGCAGGGATGTGGGAGGGACAAAAGGAGGCTCTGATATTCCTCAAGGACAAAGTCAGGATCAGACCTGAGGCTTCAAAGAGAACACAAGCTACAAACAAAGAATGACTGGAGCCAGGATTATCAGCAAGATAGCAAAATTATTGGAGGCAAGATTATCAGCGAGATAGCAAAAGGTCTGAAGACAAGACCCTAAAGAACATCTATCTACCTTTTGGGGACAGGAAATGGAAGAGATGCCCACAAACAGCAAAAGATGTGACAGAGAGGAAGGGACAGAAAGCAGTGGGAGGGGCTGTTGGGGCCACTGCAGAGGAGGCAGGGCAGGGAGGGTTCCAGCAACCAAAGAGCAGCTCCAGCCAAGATCAGAACAACAATCTTCCAAGTAATTAAATAAAAGAAAACTACCCACCACAAAGTCAGTTCCAACTCATGGAGACTGCCATTGTACAGAGCAGAATGAGGTTTTCAACGCCACCACCTTTCAAAAGTAAATCACTAGGCCTTTCTCCCCCCGGGGCCTCTGAGTGGGCTCGAACTGCCAACCTCTCAATTAGTAGCTAAGTGCTTAGTCATCTGCACCTGTCAGGGATTTCAAGCACACACTTCACATTCATGCAGTCAACAGCCTCCCTTACTTCACTTGGCTATTTGAAACAAGATGGGTTTACCTTACAGCCTTATTTAAATGAGGCCATGGCCGAAGGGGGAGTGAAGAATTTGGAGTGTCACCGTGAACTCAAGAAAATGCCACTGAGGGCCGTACTCTGGCCATGCTATTGCTAAGGCGCAAAATAAACCTCCAGGAACCAATTCTCAGAGAATGGCAACATGTGTCTGCTACCGATCAAAGTCATTAAAGAAAGAATAACGTTCTCCCCAGCAATCCAAAGAGCGAGGTGCCGATAGACGCTAGACGCAGGCCCCAGTCCCACAGAGCTGCAATTGTCTCATGATAACCACACATCCTGCCTGCCTCGCTGTGTGTGCAGGGCTGGCCCTCCCCTGCCAGCCATGTGGGAGGATTCTGAATACAGCCTCACCACAGGTCACAGCCCTAAGGGCCGAAGAAAATGGATGTGATCATGTGTGGTCCTTTCTTTTTTTTTTTTTAAATCATTCACTGTACAGAAAAAAGAATTAAAACTGCAAAAGTGAATTAGGTACTCTCCTTCATTTCTTAAAACAAAGATATAACACTTTTATAAAATGCTCCAGGATCAAGCAGGAGCAGCCACCTTAAGACTGTATTTATTCAAATAAAACAATACGCAAATCCACATCCAGGCCTCCAGACGCACACACCTGTACCTGCAGGCAAGGAATCATCATACCTTTTTCCCTGGCTCCGGTGAGTCAAAACTGTTGCAGCTCTCCTCAGATGAGAGGGTTTCCATGGGAACATCATCCTGGAAGCCAACGAAATCTTCCTCATCGCTGGGGGCATTAAAGATGTCAGCTACTTCTTTAGGGATCTGCTTTGGGTTCCAAGAGAGGAGAAGTATAAAGCCTGGGGCTGTTACAATCACTTAGGATGGTTTTCTAAAGAGGAACAGGAATGACCATTTCCTTTCTTTATCAATCTGCCACGGGGGCTGACCCCACTGTTGTCCAGGAGACCCCATAAGCCCGAGTTGGTGTCCGATCATTACCTCATACCAAACAAGGGGGAGAAGCTGATTAAGACTTATAAATTCTAGAAACATGTCCTGCTTTACACAGAATGTCAAGGCAACACCTAGACAGAAGCCATGTTTGATGTCTAGAGAAAGAAAGAAAGAAAAGGGAGGAAGGGAAAGTGAAGGAAGAAAAGAAAGACAAATAGAAAAAAGAAAATGCAGACATCAGTAACCAATAGTTTCCTCTTCTGCTCCTTTTTTTTTTTGCATTAGTCAGTGGATTTCCTGTTAAACAATGGAAATATTCCATGAGATAGTATTACACATTTTTCTTAGCTACTCAGAAACTCTCTAGTTTTCATCTATAGTTCTTTAACTTTCTGATCTTTGTCATGTACAAATTTGAAGGTATGTTTTCCTTTCATAATGTAAGTAGCTCTCCTTTTTTTATAATCTATATCAATTTAAGCAGTGTGGGAATTAATTTAAAGAGAAATGAAATGCTATTATGTGCAATTACTCCCAGAGAGAATGTTGTCAGAACATTTAATCTAACAAATATGCATCTGCTGAGAGTTCATTTTCAATAGCTGGCTACCCCACTGGATGTCTGAAAAAATGCAGATGCTCAGAAGTTGAAATAATAATATATACATACATATTCACACACACACACACACACACACACACACACTTCAACTCAAATGACCATTTGTCACCTTGTTTTTTTCTCTCCTCATCTTTTTAAACAAATAGTACATTGAACCGTAGGCATTTGCCTATATTTAACCACTTTTGACTTTTTTTTATTAATTTTAATGAAAGTTTTCAGAGATATAGGGTTTCCAGTCATTCATTGTTGCACTTTTCTCCCTGCCCACGCCCTCCCCCCCCATTCACTCTTCTCCTTGAAAAGAAAAACACTTTCATTGTTATGCAATCCCTCCCCCCAAGTCCACTCCACTATGCAGCCTTCACTCTGGACTTTTGTAATGATAAGAATACCCATTCATATGTCCCTTTCAAATAGTTCTTTCCCTCGTCTGTTTCAATGCAGTATATATCATTTCTCCCCTCCTTTTCTGTCTTCCCTCAACTCTGATGTCAGTCCCGTTTTACAACAGTGGCCCTATGCAATATATATCCTTTTGTGACTGAGATATTTCACTCAGCATAATGTCCTCCAGGGTCACCCATTTAGCATAATATTTCATGAGTTCCTTGTTTTTCAATGCAGCATAGTATTCCATTGTGTGAATATACCAGAGTTTCTCTATCCATTCATTTGTTGATGGGCACTTGGGCTGTTTCCAGCTCTTTGCTACTGCGAACAAAGCTGTGGTTATATTAACTTAATTTGCTTGTACTAAGGAGCTCTGATGGCAATCTGCAGGAAGTTGCACTGCCAACCTAATGGGGGCATCTCTGTGCCAGTTTGAATCCACCAAAGGTTCTAAGGGAGAGAGACTGTAAATTTCCTGCTGTTTGATTTACACTTTCTGAAAAACCTGCGGAGGGTCACTCACGAATGGGTTCCAACTTGACAGCAATGAGCTTGAGTTTCACTTTTCGCTAACGGATGCTGAAAAACTAATATGACCCGGCCTAATTTATGTTTAGGGTGCTCTAGTGTCCTAGGTGTCAACCCAAAGCTGGTGGTTCAAATCCACAGCTATTCTGTGACAGAGGGGCAATTTCCTTCTGTGACTCCTACAAGTTGAGGAGGGTCAGCTTGAGTGAGTTGACTCCAGAGCAAGGAGCTTGAGTTTGAATTCATGTATACCCACATATTGTTTAAAGTTGCAGATACCATCTTATTTCACCCTACAATAAACTCAAGTCATTTCCAAAGAATAATGGCATTTTCTTATAAGCCCACAAACTATAATCATACAGAATACTAGTTTTAAAAAATCATCTAGTATAAATCCATATTTAAATTGCTTTAGCTATCTTTAAGATGATTAATAACTCACACAGGCAGTTTATACTTCATATCTGGTGGGTTTTGTGTTTTGGGTTTTTTA